ATAGTAATAATAATCCCAACACTTCAGTTCACAACTATATTTTCCCTGGATCTGAGTTCAATACATCTTCAAGAAACGCTTCAAACACAGGTAAACAAAACAATTATACAGTTTTAAGTTGTACAATAAACATAACCTCTGTACCATCATGAATATAGCCATGACAGCAAGTTTTCTTTCCTGATCTTTCACAGAATAACACAGACCCAGTCCTTTAAAGCTTGAAACTCTGCAGATAGCAGCACTACATTCAAGTAGTAACCAAAATATCATTTCAAACACTACAGCAATATTTACAAATGTTTCTCCAAAACATCTAGTGATTTACCTCAAAATTCAGTTATTGTACAATCATTTATCAAGCACCTACTCCGTATTAAGCACTATTTTAGGTACTGGTGGTACAGTAGTGATTAAATCAAATCTACACACAAAATAACTCTGCCTCAAAGAATTTACTCTAGAAAACAAGACAAAATAAAATAAATATGAATTAGACATTAGATTGAATTCTGGGGTCTCTAACATTATAATTAAAATGAATATCCTGTTTACAGGGTATTGAATTATTACTGCTAAACATAACAAAAATTTTGGTGCTACTTTCAGAAAGCAAAAAAAAAATTGGAAGAAATTCAGTTTTAAATACAAAGACATATAAACATCATAACATGGTTAAAATTAAGAACATACATTTACCCATCTATTAAAGAGATCTACATGTGTCATGAAACATCCAAAGTAAAACTACTGAAATAGCCTCCTATGTTTGTTTTTTCTTTTGCTTCCTCCGCTTATTTTTGTCTTTTTGAGACATGGTCTAGCTATGTAGCTCAGGCTGGTTTGAGTTTACTTTGCACCCCAGGCTGGTCTGAAACTCAAAATGATCCTCCTGCTTCAGCCTCCCAAGTGCTAGGACTATCAGCAGTCATAATCTGTGTGCCACCACACCCAGCCTGTTTCTTTATCAATTACCACACTGTGAAAAACCCAAGAACTTAAAGCAGTTACTTTGTTGAACTAACCATGCTGAATAAAATATGCATATAAAATATAAATAGGTGTGATAAATATTTGAAAGAAAAACTTTAATTCAATAGTTTACAAAGATTGTTTTCATATAATCTCTTATTAGATCAAATATTAGTCACTGGAAAATAACAAATTACCAAGCAATGGGAACCTCACCTTAGACTAAATCTATATTACTTCCTTAAAAAACAAAAGCAGAATGATAAACTTGAATCCTTTATATTGAAGTGGATGCCACTTGAACACATACTCATAAGTGAAATAAACCAGATACACATGGGTAAATATCATATACTTTCCCTAATATAAAAACTCAAAAGAAGAAATACAAATAGAAAGGTATAATAAAAGTAAAAGGAAAGCAAGAACTGGAGGATTAACTAATTAAGAGAGAGAAAGGAGAAGAGCTGGAAACATGACAGTGACAAGCCATAGTGTTATATGTACAAGATGGGCAAGGCAATGATCCTGAGAATCTCCAGAAGATTTTTGCATCTAGCAGTTAATTGGAAAAATTCTCACCCTAACTAACTACATATACTGATACCTGTGAACTAAGCAACTGCACTGAAGATGGTAATCTGTAATAGTAGTTTCATGCTTGGAGTGCCAGTCATTCTGGTCTTCTGAATACAGGCTGCTTGTCATGACATGCCAGTTGCTCCTGTGCTGTCTCTTAGGTAGATGATTGTTCAAAAGGAAGGGGGTAGTGAATGAAGGCAAGAGACAGGAAAAGGGATGTTGTGGGACTGTCCTGCTTCAAGGTTGTATATGGTTAGAATTTTGGACTTATGTGTAAACATAAGAATTATATAATTCTTTATGCCTATTTTTAAAAATATATTCTAATTTTTAAATGTTTTTTCATCATATTCTGTAGGGACTTAAAGTTCAACATATCAATACTTGATGAAAATCACCTGTTCCATGTTATGCCTAAGATGTTTGATATTCAGACAGATAGTGAGGTTAAGCTTAATAGCCTAGGTTGTATGGTAATAACAATAAACTCTTCTTGAGAGTCCACAACCTAAGTTTTCACACCAAAATTAGAGAAAAAGAAGAGCTGCAAAAAAGGCAACATTTTGGTTCTGGTTTTCCAAGGTCAATTAAGATTCAGGACATATGAAAACTTGGACTGTAACATCATGTAACTTGGTAGTGTCCCAAATTTTCTGATCAAGGAGATTATGGGGCCAAAGAGGAAAGTGATCGTTGATGTAGAGTGTACCTAAGGAGAATCATATGGAGAGAAAACATTCTCTCAGGCTTTCACAGAGAGCACATTGGCCAAGCAATGGCTGTGACTCATCCACATGGCTGACACTGACAAAGGTTCTACAATCTGAGGCACAGGATCTCAGGATAAATCCTGAGGGGATTTCACTGACCTTCTCAGACCAAAAAGCTACAACTCTTGTTGCATAGGTCCTGCTTTACCTTGGTCTTAACCATCCAGCAGAAAAGTATAAAAATGAAATATAAGAAGTAAAGCCATGGTGTTATGTTGAGCTGTAGGGGACTCAGGTCAACAATTTCTGACATTGCCAGTCAAGCGGAAGACCCAATACTATTATGGACTACTGGACTCTTAGAATATTTTGTTGAGTTAACACACCTATAATATTCAAATAACAGAACTTAACAAAAAAAGGGGATACGGATGAATGTCCATTTTGTATCTGTGTATTCACTATGGTTAGGATAGATATATAGTTATATTCTCTTAAGGAATAGAGAGATTTGTTCTAATAGTGTTTGTAAATAGGATATCATGTCCGCATCTTGTACAGCAATTAACCAATAGGAAGAATGTATGCAATGTGTTAATTATTGAATCTGTCCTACCAATTTGGTTTGAAACTGTCTCATTGCTATTTGTTTCTCAATAAAATTATGGAAAAATAAATAAATAAATGGGGAAAAAAAGCAAGGCTGTAGGATGAGCTCAGTGGTATAGCACTTGCCTACTATGAACAAGGCTCTAGATTTCATCCCCAGTACTGCCAAAGAAACCAAAACAGTATTTTCAGAGATCAATTCTCTCCAATATTTCCCCTGGTAAGCCAGGTGTGGTGCTGCACACCTGTAATCTCAGTACTCAGGGGGGCTGAGTCAGGAGGATGTCTGAGAATCAAGGCCAACTTGGGCTACTGGGTAAGTTCAAAGCCAGCCTGAACTCCATATAAGACCTGTCTCAGGAAAAAAAGAAAAAAATCACTATTCCCCCTAGCATAACCAAAACTTAACAAAACTGTGATAAACAATAAAAGTGTAGAAAATGTACAATTCTCTATTTATTTTGTGTATGACATGTACTTGTCCACTAAAACCTGTTCTCCATTTTATTTTATTTTATTTTTTAAATATATTTTTTTGGAACCAGCGATTGAACTCAGGTCCTTGCGTTTGCCAAGGAAGTGCTTATTCCACTGAGGCATCTCCCCAGCCCTCTCCATTTTAAAATGAGGATAATTAGGTCCTAGGCTGTAGCTTGGTGGCTCAGCAAATACATGGCAAGTGCAAGGCCTTGAGTTCAGTTCCCTAAAATGACAACAAAAACAATGATCCTTTTCAAAAACAACAACATAAATTTTAAAAACTTAATATTAGGCCTTTCTTACATGCTATCACTCACTGACAAGATAAATATTTTATTTCCATTTCAGAAGCTACTTTGAGTTCTTCTTCTCAACTTCACTGATCTATTCACATACACTGGCAAGCTGGATTTGAAAAACAAGAAAGATACTCAATTCTTATTTATCCCTAATATTGAAAGCATTTTTTCTCTGCCAACCTATTAATGAGACTGTTGAGATATGAAAAACACTGAATAAACTATGCGCTGATAAAGGACTGACACCCCAAAGCAGAGTTAAGTAAAAAGAAAACCCAAGCTGAGAATAATCTATACCACCACCTTAAAAAACAAAAAAAATTTTCAAAAGGAGGTAAGCCCAGCACTGAGGGAGGATGAGGCAAGAGTTCCTAAATTTGGATCCAGAGCAAGCGAGTCACTCAATGACTCAGAAGGACACTGTCTCAAAATAAAAATTATAAAGGGCAGAGAATATAGTGCAAAGACCCTGGTTTAATCCCTAGTATAACACACAACAGAAGAAAGCTAAACACTCCTCCCATTTTTGCTACCTATGCACAGTTTCTTTCTGGAAGAAAACACATCAATTGGTAAAAAAGATTGTCATAAGGGATATGAAGTTGGTAATTAGGAACAGAGCCAGGAAAATAAACCAAACTCCCTTATAAACCTTTTCTATAATTTATAACTATTTGATAGTATTAGTTATACTCAAGGCCTACACAGGGTTAACTAACCCCTCAATCACATACACTATCTCAAAATTACCTACTATTTATCAATTTGTGATTTTTTTTCTTTTCTTTTTTTTTTTTTTTTGAAATCCTGTCTCAAAATTTAAAAAATAAAAGCAAAGGCTGGGACTGTCAGCACAAAGGCCCTGTGGCTCAGTCCCCATTAGCACACATGCCATGCCACATGCATGTACAGTGATCCTTAAGAAAAACTAAGAAAATCTTTTTTCAGTATTTCACAAAATAAAAAGGGGGTTTATTAGAAAAATACTATTCATCATCTACAAAGCTAAAATGCATTAGCAGAAAATGAATTCTTAAAAATAATTCCTATCCAGGGGCCAGCCAAATAGCTCAGCAGATTAAAGTGCCTGTAAGCAGGTGCAGGGGCCTGGGGTTCGATTTCTGGGCCTGCCATGCCAGCCCTGCCCCCATGACATGATGAGATGGCAGCTGAGACTGGGAGTGGTGGCTCACACCTGCGAGGTCAGTGAGGACTCAGGACATAAGAAA